GGGGCTACGAGTTTATTTGTACATAGATGGTAAGAATGAAAACAGGGAACGTTTTGTGGACACCTTGTGGGTGTGTGGGAGTGGTGTTCCAGCTGGAGGCAGCTGAGAACCGCTGTCCTTTCTCTCTGACAATTGGCATACAGTGGGGGCGATTGGCAGTGAAGAAGAAGAAGAAGAGGTGGTGGCCGAAGAGGTGAAGAGGGGAAACAGGGGGAGAGTACGGTTTCTCGTGGCGTGGCACGCTGCGCTGGTTACTTTTCACCAGTCGCGAACGCTGTCAGTGAGCGAGCGAGCGAGCGAGCGTCAGCCTCGAACTCCTTTGTGCCAGTGTCCTTTCCAGCAAGGATCCTCTTTTTTAGATCGATGAAAATTCTCGATGAAATATAACCCGTGTAAATGCGAGTTTCCACGATCGATCAGAGTCGGTCGAACCATCGATCTCCCTTCCGCGGTGCCCGCTCGGAATTATTAAGCTCGCGTATTTATCTAGATGATTATTCAACGCTTAGTTACCAAGCGTGTCGAGCGACTGTGATTTTTCGAGTGACGTGTATTATTAACACGCTTATGCGCGAAGAAATCCGCAACAGCTGAGCAGCGACGTTTTAAATAACGTTACGATTAAATCGTACAATCGGCGAACCGTAATTTGTGTGAAAGTTAACTGGACTTGGCAAGTTAGAGTCATCGAAGTGAAAGTTCTAGTTGAATTTCAATCGGGCAAGTCGAAGTACGTCTGCGACGAGAATTAATTGTGCTCATCGCCGGTTCAACTGTTTAATTGTTCTTCGCTGATTGGAGAACCAATCGTCGTACCGAGTACAACACTACGACCGGAAGTGTATCGGAAACAAGCCATTAAGTATGCAAGGTGCAACGCATGAATGCGATAAAAATGAAGAAACAGCAAATGAGAGGAATATGAAAATGTAAATAATTAGCCAGATTCAATCTTTCGGTGGATGGATTACCGTTTAAGGAACTCGAAACCGGAACTGAGAATAACCGAGTTTATCGTTTCGTGTACAAGATTTCGAAACTTGTTTCCCAACTCTTTTCTCAATCGTTGAATACAATTTTTTACACGATGTGTCATAATCTGCATGAT